AAATATAGATGGGACAGAAATGATGGTAATGGCGAGAAGTAGGAAAAGGAAAAATCTATCTAAAACAGCTGCAGCTCTWGACCATTCATYCTGKACTTTTTCCTTCGTATTCATCWCCCGAAACTTGTCAGAAAGGACAGMAACCTCCTTGACAAGTTCTTTCAATTCCATCCTTGCTTCGGTACTTGTCAGAGAGCTTTTGGYTTCAGGYATTTCTTGGGCGATTTCGCTTATCTTMTTTTGAGGATCTTCATGTTTGTAGCCATTATTGTCCATTACAAATGRATCAGATCTTTTAATGAACAAATCGTTTCCCTTTTCCCAAGGAACCACTGTGCAATTATTTTCTTCATACATCCAAACCAGTCTTGCAATCCATTTATTTACAAAAGTATCGAACCACTTTGGCAATGGTGTTTCGTTGTTGTGGAATCTTATAACAAAACATGATGCTACAACAGAAAGGACTTGCTCTACCATTACAAAGAGGAAGAACTGAGAGGACAACGATGTTTCTGCAGAATGCGGCATTTCTTCATTGACTATCATCATATAAACCGACAAAGCTACCAGCACAGTCATTATAAAAGACACTCTTTCTCCTGAATTTGGCGGCAAAATAAACGAAAAGAGTGAAACAACTGTGATGAGACCACAAGGGATGATCAAATTATACATAAAAAAAGCAGGCCTTCTCTTCATGGATACCGTGACCTCCACCACTGGATAAGGAGCAGGACAGCAGTTATATTTCCTCGCATGACGTTCCACTTTGTTTTCATAAAAACTCCACTCCTCATTTTCAGAGTAGCTCTCTTTGTCAACATACGGGCTGACGATATCCATGTCCATTTTACTGGCATCAAAAACCCAAGATCCAAATTCAAGCATGCATTGTTGATCATCGAACGGAAAATGTGGTGCGTCAACTTTGCAGGACGATGAGATGATTGCTGGGGTGCTCCATCTTGTTTCACCTCTGTGATCTATAACTATCTGACTCTTTTTTAGCTCAGAGGTCAACCCATCTCTTTGCTTGTGGGAAGCACTAAGAAAGCAAAGTTACATGTATAATATCAATAGCCTGATCAAAGATAGTTTACCGGTTAAAATCGACGATCTACTTGGATGCTTACCTGTTGTAGAGCTTGATATCTGGAACCCAAAGTTTGTCAGCGTCAACACTGATCCTATCTAATCCCCCAAAGTCTTTAGGATTCCAATTTACGAATTCATCTTTCCAATACTAAGTAATAAAATATTGATAATGTTATATGTAATACATTGAAGTTGAGTTTGGCTCWGCTCGGCAGCCCATRCAATGTTGCTTGCTTTGTCATCACAACTTATGCGTAGCAAAATTTRCACTAAAATTATTGTTACAATATGCCCCTTTCTACTCCAAGCCGCTGTCTTTTTCGTCTACAGGGTCTAATGGGAGGTGTACCTTTACCCAAAACAGAAGCAAACACTAGTACACATTTTTTTCATTGTCAATGSTCCACAAAGATTTGTATGTTTCCATAATTCTCTTTCCAAAATAACAGATGGCTTTAACTGGAAAATGTCACATTTTAACAACCGACCGTTATGATTACTCACTGTTCTTATCCACACATGGAGTGTCAATATTTGATGCTGGAAGTCCTGTAGAGATCGATGTATACACAGTTAAAATACAAATGCACTGCTTAATTCTCCTCTTTCCCTCATCAATTGGACTTTCAAAGCGCAAGAGTTTGAATATCGGAATGGCCCAAAGCCCACGCCTTACAGTGCAGATCCCTGGGTGTTTTCATATCAAAAGGTAGCCGTGAAAGCCTTTTGCATCAAAACAAGAAATCCAGTGAGCTTGTGCAATGATAGCACCAGTGCATATTTTTTCGAAGTATGAAAAAAG